TTCCCCGCTTTCTTATTTTTTGCCGAATCCTTTGCGCTATTTCATATTGATTCTCCGTCGCGTCACGAAACAACACCTGGAAGTCAGTCATCCACAATGCCTGCGACACCATCGCCAGAGCGGAGCCCCAGCTCCCAAGGAGGCAGCGAGCACCATGTTGAGCCAACCATAGAGATAGAGGATGCCATTGTATGCCGTGCATCCTAATCCTACCTAGTTTTGTTGTGCTGGAATAGTACCTAACTGGAGACCACCACAGGCCGCCGACAATGACTCAACCCTGGGCGAGGTGCGACTCCGATTTCCTCTCTAGCGTAGCCGGCGTATTCTTTGACGCCGACGCTAGTCTGGTAAAGGCTGAGGATGGTTTATTTACCGGTATTTATAGGAGTCTGACCAGTCCCACGTGTCCCTCTCGTCGAGCATCATGGCATATCGAGAAGAAAACGGCCGACGTTATCATGCCCTTAGTAGCGGCAGTAAGTAAATGGCTCTCGATGTTGGCGTAGGAGACTAACACACAAGTTAGAATACGTCCTTCCCAACGACGACGTTAGTTGAACCCACCCTTGGAAATGACCGTGGTATTTCTCGACTGAGTCGCTATTAATAAATGATCCTCCACTGTAGGCAGAAAACGATAGACTCGGTAGGCATAGATGGTAGACGTATACATATAATGCATAACGCATGCTGATATCGATGGTAGACCTCCAGCACGAGCTCTACGTCCGCACCTTACACGGGGAGCTCGCACTCTGTCCAAAAGCTAGAGACGCGAAACGAGTTCTAGATATAGGCACTGGCACTGGATCATGGGCCATTGACTATGGCAAGTAACCTTGGCTTCTGTGCATTATCTATGCGCGGATGTAACGTACTGACATGGATTTAAAGCGGATGCGAATCCCGAAGCTGAGGTTTGATACTCTACCCCTCTTCAACGTTGATATGTTACTTTGACTTATGCATATGCTAACTGCTAAAGGTGATTGGTGTTGATCTGAGCCCAATTTAGCCATCGTTGTGCGTCTAAATACCGTTGTTTAACCAAGGAATTCGATACTAATACAACATCGGTACTGCTAGTGTTCCCCCAAATCTTATCTTCGAGATCGATGACCTCGAAAAGGAGTGGACCTGGACGAAAAAGTTTGATTTCATTTTTGCTCGAATGATGCTCGGCTGCTTCTAGGATTTCCCGCAAATCATCAAGGTAGCATTCGACAACCTCGAGCCGGGCGGCTACCTCGAGCTCCAAGACATGAGCCTCCCTGCGCGTTCCGACGACGATACCCTATAGCCCGATAGCTACCTATCCCAGTGGTGCAGGTGCTGTTTTGAAGCTGGCCAGAATCTCGGACGCCCCGTATTCCCCACCACCGAGTACAAGAACTACCTCGCAGCCGCCGGCTTTGAGGGTATTGTTGAGGTGTAACGCAAATGGCCAACAAACGCCTGGCCTCGTGATAAACATTTCAAAGAGTTGGGTAACTGGACGCGTGCCAATATTGCTGGTGGACTTGACGGTCTTTCTCTCGCCTACTTCACACGCGGCCTGGGTTGGACGCCTGAGGAGACACGTGTGTTTTGTGCACATACCAGGAAGGACATGGAGAATCCTAAGATATATGCTTACTGGCCGATGTAAGTGTTTGAACTGATCCAGCGCTTAATCTCCCCCACTTCCAGCGGCAGCTTTACTGATGATGCCTCTTGTGTCAGATATTTTGTCTATGGGAGGAAGCCCTTGACTGCCGAGTGATATCGGCGTGACCCCAAAGCGATGAGAAAAGATGAAATTTTGCTGTTGCAGAAGTTTGAAAAAGGCCACTGTGTCAACATCGGGTCATGATGTTATGATCTATTGAAAATTTGTTCGTTTTTATAGTTGCAGCCCGGCCCTTGATGGGTTACCTGAGCTCGGAGAACGACAAAAGATGGCAATACTATTCCTGTTTTTTCCCCGATGATTATTGATTGAAAATTAGACTGAACGAAATTCACCTGATATTTAGAAGTATCTTGAAATCTAGACCTCTCGAAAGCAGCATCTTATGCTGTCTAGTGTACCAAGAACCGCTTAAAATAATTTACTAAATTACACGCTCCATTTAGGAGGCTAATACCTAAATACGTTAGCTCTACGGAGCAGTGGGTCATCTGTCCTGTCGAAGGATCTATCAGACATGGAGGGTGATTGATAACGAGCCAGCTACCTGCATCGGATTCTAAGGCCGAAGAGTCGTCGTCTATTAGATCGCACTTTAAGTCCGAGGAGACCCACACTCACGCGGGGAAGAAGATTAGTTATTCTCGCAGTCTGGTATGAAGATAAGAGGGTTTTGAAAAAGGGAAAGCCCTTCTTAACTGTCCGTACGTTAAGTCAAGTGAGCATCATCGCGTCCGTCAGACTCACATTTCAACCTCGACCTTCATTGACCGCTCACCAAACATTTTCCAGTGTTCTGACCTGGCTAGCAATCTGCAACATGGCGCCAAGTCCCAAGACTTTTGACAGTGACGACAGTGTCCTTGACCCAGCTATCAAAGCGCATATCGCAAGCCTATACTACGCTGTGGATAACAAAGAGCTTGAAAGATGGGGTTCACACTTCACCGATGACGCTGAGTTGAAGAAAGGCGCGACCAACGTCAAGTGCAGAGAGAGTGGGTAATACTCAAACCGTGACTACGGTGCTCCTCACTGACATAGCTGGACTAGACTTGGTCGAACTTGTCACTAAGTCCTGGGCTGTTGTTCAGAGTCGTGATCATACCGTTTATAAGGTCTTTCCATTCGGTGCCAACTCTGATGAGGTGATGATGCACGGGCGAAGCAACAATGTGTCCCTGGATGGCGTGAAGTCCACTTTCACCTGGGCCGCCCGCATGCACTTCCGCAAAGCAGAGGACGGTAGCGTACTAATTGACAAATACACTATCATTGTGGTACGTTTGAGTATTTATCATCCACTGGTTCTGCCTTGCTCACTCGATTCCAGGATCCCCATCCGTCGACCTTGTAAATGCTTGGGTAGATAAAGGCCAAGGCGACGTTGACCTCTGTATAAGGAAACGAGGCCATAACAAACTCAGACAGCGAATACAATTAGTAAAATACTTCGAATACCCGTTAAGTTGCTAAGGCAAGGGGCTTAATGGCTGAATATTTAGCCCGAAGGGTAAATACCGTCTACCTACTATTAAACTCTTCTGGGAGGCCCCCTTTCGATTATAGCGATAACCAGCTATTAGAACTACTTTAAACCTATAGTAAGGGAGTTAACTGATAGACATAGGGGTCCCTCTACTACTTCCTTCTAGGCCTAATTAACTATATATTATATATCGAGTTCCCCTTTCCCTATAGCTTATAGGAAAACGTCGTTTAGTTAATATACCGTGGTGGATATGGCGGATTAATTAGCTGCTAAGCCTAACGGCGTCGTTGGTTAGTAAGGCGTATCTTTATCCCTATATTGTAGTTAGCTATAATTGTAGTACATAGGAAACGCAGGCATATAAACCTTCCGTGGGCGTATAATTATAGAGGTTCTAACGGTCAAAAGGCGCCTCGAGGAGTAGGCCTTATAATGAGGTAACTTATGATACTATAATATAACTAATACCGGCCTAGAAGTCGCGTATAGCGAGGTTAGTAACTATCTGATCCTTCGTTAGGCTCTAGTATTTATGAATAGTAATAGTAAATACTATGATTAGGGGAAACTAGGTGCGAGAGTAGGTCTTATTACCTATTAGGAAATTATGCGTAATAGGAAGGATAGGTATAATTTTCTTGCCCTCGTTAGTTATTAGATATAGCGGTCTGTCGTAGTTATTAAAGTCTATTATAATAATATCCAGGGGATCTTACTATGGGTTAGCGCCTTTATTCTAAGCGATATTATATATTATACCCTAGGCGCTATTAACTAGGCTAGCTGGTTGCTATAAATTAGTTATGAGTATTACCCTAGCACCTCTAGTAATAATAAACTTATTGGATAGATTACTAGTATGGTTACTTAGCGCCTACCTCGCGCCTTTACCTAGGTTCTTTGCCTCTACTTATATTGCCGGGGCGTTAAGGTGCATTATATGCTCGTAATTATATTCATTGACCCGGGCCTTTATGGAATATACCCGCATAGCGGCCTTAAATCTATTAACCTCGCTCTGCGTTAGCTTGGCCTGCACTCGACTACTGAGGAGGTTCTAGGAGGGTATAGATAACTTGACTTTACGTAGTTCTTATAATGCCTAACGGAACCGGGCCTAATTATCACTAGTCTAGCGCTATACCGTAGTTAGGAAGATAGTGCGGTTAAATAACTAGTAGGCTACCTATCCTCTCTTTTCTAATAAAGACAGGCTAGTGCTAGCGGTTAAATATAGCGGCTTTTATTAGATAGGTAGTAGCTAGAAGAAATCGCCTATAAGCAAGATGCTTATACTACTAAAGAACTCGAGGCTATGCTATGGAAAGGCCTGTCGTAGGCGAGAATTAATTCGCCTGAGCTACTTAAGTCCTAGTATACTCTTTTTATTAATAACGAGGTACCTAATATGCCATAGGTAGGACTAAAGGGCAGTAGCATTAGCTAGGCGAAGTTCGATAAAGGTACTGCCTACTAAGAGACGGAGTAGTAAATATATAGTGCTGCCCTATATCTAATTACTCGTAATGCCTATTGGCGCTATGCGGCAAATAGGGCTAGGATTCGGTAGGGTAGCTACCTAAAGGTAGGAGGAAAGTACCTTAATAAGGAAGGACTTACCTATGTTATTGCCGCCGTTAACGTAGAGAAGGATTTAAATAGGATTTTGCGCCTAGAAGTAACCTATGAAGGTATTATATATTAACTGCTATTGCGGGTTAAGCTGATCACGCTAGTGAGGGCTAAGGACCTCTATATCGTTAGCTATAGGGTTGCTAGCGATGAGGTCTTTCTAGTAGCTATCTCGAAACTCTAAATAAGTGCCTATATGCCGTGTCTAGTCGTAATTAATATCGATATCGCGGCGGCTAAGTAGGTTAAGACCTTCCTAGGTAAGGGGGTTATTAGGTAAAAGGGCGGCGAGATAGATCTAGTCTTTGTTATTAAATTCCTCCTTTACTAGCAGAGCCTCGTACTAATCCTCTTAAGGTTATAATCGAACCTCTTTTGGCTGGCCGTAATAGTTATTATTATGACTATAGTGCTACTAATAATAGGAAAAGGCCTAAGCGTGAGAATTAAAACGATAGCCGTTAAACATAAGGAGCTTATTATACCGATAATATGGGTGGTTTAATACTAGCTTTACGCGGCAATACTCTGGCTACTATTAGCCTTCTGGATTAGCCTAATAGCGAGGAAAGTAGACCAATATATGCGGCCTACCGTTAATATTAGCTGGCTGCTATTGCTTCTACTTGGAAGGGTCCTTAGAGTAGAAATTCTAGTATTTAAGAAAGGAAATATAGGTTAGGTCTTCTAGGGATTTAGGGTATTAATAGTACTTTTCGTAGATATTAGGGGCCTTATTAACCTTATCGGCGTTAATCCGTAAAGAGCGGGAATATATATTAGGATTATAGTAATTAATATATAAGCAGGTTTGTGAGCCTTCTTATAATAGTAGACCGAGGAGTAAGTAGCTAACCTCTTGCTTTGAGTAGTCTCGCTTAGTAATTAATTAATTTAGGAGCTTTAATGTAAAGGAAATTAGCGGGTTATAGTCCTTAACCCGGGGCATTAGGGCCTTCCTAATCTGGGCAAAAGACTTACTCTTCTTCTCTAACTTAGAGTAGTATTTAGCTATATAATCGATTACCTACTATAGGCTTATGCAGGGTAAGATATCTGTATTAGCTAGCTACGCAATGGCAAGTAAGCGGTTATAGTAGTTTATCTAGCTATTATTCCGCTTGCCCCTAAAGCTCTAGTACTTAGAATAAGGAACCTTTTTAAGGGAGGCTAGTAGGCGCTGCCCATAAGGAAATCCAAAGCGGTACTCTACCTACTTAGTATGCTTACTAAGCTACATATAGTAGTTATTATAGTGATGGCGCTGCACGCGGTTTACTACTATTGATAGGAACTAGATGGTAAGGGGATGTTCTAATAGATTACTAATTAAGGGATTCCTTTCCCTAGGTGCCTACACCCTCTAAGGCTCTGGGTTAATAGCGGATACGTGATATCCCTAGATTTAGGTAAATTGCTCCCGGGACTAGCTATTATTGGGATCTAAGTCCGGGTGGCTATTTAGCTAATATAGGCCATAGTAGTAACTAAAACCCCTGCCCTACTACTCATAGCGACCCTAAAAGTCTATTAGGTTGAACTTCTGCCTTAGGATAATAGTCCTAAAGAGCATATATCGCTTATAGAAGTAATAAGCGGCAATATAGGCGTTATCTCGTAGTAGTTGCCGGGATAGAGCCATTTGCGCCGCCTTAGGAGCTACTTTTTACTCCTAGAATCGAGGTATATAACGATATAGGGACTCCTAGTAGTAATCAGCTATACTTACTATAATGAAAAGGCTAGGCCTACCTAGATTATAGGCATATACCTCTAATTCCTTCCTTTGCTTATACTAATATGGATAGGTGCCCCTAATTATAGCGGCTTAGCGCGTGATCGATTGGATCAGGGCCTAAGCCTCTGGCTCGTTAGGCTTAGCTATCGCTTCCTCTATATTAGCGCGCGTAAGGGGTTAATAGCGGCGGCCTTTATATTACTTAACTAAGTAGTTACTCTGCTTTCTGACCTGCGTATATAATAGCATGTTAAGGGCGATAAAAGGCCATATCTTATGCCGGGCAAAATATCTATCTTGCTATCTCATCGTATAGGCAAGGTAGTCTTAGTATATGACGCTCTATAGGCGAGGCTCTATAAAGTCTACCTTGCCGTCGGGGTAGAGGGTAGGGAACGCAAGCGTTAATAGCGGCTAGGAATAGTTAAATTCGTTAATAGGAGTCCTGCGAATAGAAGGTAATAGCATCTAGTATTAAGCCTACGTGTTAGGCGGTATATACTTAAGATCGGCTATATACTTAGGGTTAGGGGTACTATAAAGTAATTAGGACTATAGGGCGTTTAATTTAGTATCTATAACCTATAAATTAGGGATCACCGATATATCTATATCTACTGGATCCTCTTTTATATCCTCCTTAATAGGACCTTAGGGGGCCTCGCCGTTAAGTATATTAGCTACTTAGCTAGCAATAGAAGTAACTATACTGCCGTTAAGAGGAAGCTATTATAAGCGATCTTGCCTTATAATAATATCGCGATAGCCCGGGTGGTGGCGCTATAGGTAATATAGCTAGGTTAATAGGTATAAGCGGCGTACCCGGAAATCGCGAGCAAATTACTACTAGAAATAAGGGTCGCCCTCTATATTAGGAGGCCGTAAGAGCATAATATCTAGCTCTTTAGGTAGGACCGGGAGCTCTTTAAATAGCCTACTAATATTACAAAGGAAGTAGATAATATAGCCGCGGTATTTATACTAAGAGCTATATACCTATAGGACCTTTATGTATACGTGAACCCTAGTAATTAGTATCTCCTTAATTATTATTAGGCTAGGTAGATTACCGGGGACTTCCCCGAAGTTAAGGCTATTCGTAGCGCTAAAGAAGTAGGGCTTATTAGTAGTTCTCTCCTTATCTCGATTAATATAGCGGCTATAGACTCCTAAGCTGTTTTTCTTTATATCGAACTAATGCTCCCGGCAGCGAATATAACTATATATCTTATCGTTATTCAGGGCAATATAGAACTCCCGCATAAGCGCCTGATCTTCCTTACTAAGGGCAGGTAAATTAAGGTCCCTTATAAAAGGTAGATTAATTATCTAATTAAACTATCGTTCTTAAAGCTATAGCCGTGGCCGTCGGTTTATAATGCCTTAATATATATAGCGGCCGCGGTGATAACCCTATGGCAGTAATAAAGCAGTGGTAGGGAATGATTCCTATGGCATAGGCGTGCCTAGCATAATAAGAGCTATTATAGTCGTATTACTAGGAATTAGCGTGCCTAGAATTACTCTTAGCGGGCTTAAGGTAGGAGGGATAAGGAGGGCTCCTTCCGCTGCGCTTAAGGTAGATAGGCCTAGTAGAGGTCTAGGTAGTCCCTAGAGGATAGGCGCTAGACTATAGAATATAGTAGGTATTATAGGGGGTTATAAGCTATTAATAGATATAAGCGCTTATGCGTTTCGCCATAGAGGCGTTAATTGAGCCTAAGAATCGGTCCTCTTTGTCATTCTACGCGGCGATAGCCTCGAGGCGATGTTCCGCATGGCGGCAATAGCGGCTCGGGATTCGGCCACTCGCTCTTTTTAGCGTGCCCTATAGCTACTATACTATCTTATAAGCCTCATAGGGTCTTTAACGCTTTAAAACTTAACCTCGGGTAGGTCTTACTTATAAGTATAGTAGTTCTAAACTACCTAGGGTATATTATTTTCTATCTGGCTATATATATTGTTATCTGCCTCTTACCTATATAGACGACCGGGTAGGTATCGCTTAGGTAGCGAGGGTTTATTTAGATATATCGTAGCGTGATAGATCTCGATATAGGAGGTTATCTATAGGGTGTTTTAATTAGGTTTAAATAATTAGGGAAGGAGGGGATACTTTACCGCTCGATTAGAGGCAGGTAATACATAAGCCAAGACGTCGTTAGTAACCTCGTAAGGTTTAGTAGATAATAGTTTTAATAGCAAAGGGAAAGTAGATGCTATATCGGTGCTCTGGCTAGAATCGCGCTTGGAGGCCGGAGTTGATTAAAGGATAACCTTAAAGCTCCTAGAGAGCTTGCTAAAAGCGTTACCTAGTTAATGATCGCGGGCTTTCCTATATAGTGGCGTTATTAGCGTTGATAACTGACTAATTTAAGCACGAGTTAAGCATAGACTATGCTAATTAGCTAATTAGAAAAAGTTTTATGCTCTTTTTTTCTGACTGAGTAAAACGCCCTTCGGGCTGAATAATTTGGGTTGTCCCATAAAACCTGACATTTCATTGTTCTTAGATCGGATTCGCACATCTCATATCGAATTCTCGACGTGTCTGATTGGGTTCTGATCTCTTCTAGCCTTTGAACCAAGGCCTTTAGCTTCTGCTACGTGTCTTTGGCTAAGGAACCTAGCGGCTTGCCATGCGGAATAGACATAGCCAGTAATTAGAAACAGTCATGATATTGCTGTGAATTGAGCCATATGTCGGTAATATGACATTGCAATCCTACAAGGCATCCGTAGCCTGCCGTGGAATGGTCATGACCCCGGCCCGGATAATGTGCCAGGGGACCACCGCCGCTCGGAATTGGGAGAGAACCCGTGTCTCGACGGCCAGACCGACAAATTCACCTTTGAATATTCAGAGAATGTACCATAATCCAGGGATGTGCGAATTGTTCTCTTCTCTGTAGAGCTCAAAAAAAAAAATGGTGCAAACCGCGGAGCTCGTTTGAAAGGCCATGTCAGCCATGATGGATATGACATTGGACTTATTCATAAAGTAGATGGAGACCTGAACAAAATGGTCGATATCCTGGAGCCATAGGGCGCTTTGATAACCGTGGCTCCTCACTTCACTTCATAGAACATGCATCTTAGCCGCCAATGGAAGACTTGAAGCCATTCCCATAATGCTTGAGCTGAATTATGTTCCCAAACCGTCGCTCTCTGTCAGACTACGGCGTGATCTCCTGACCAGCCACGGCAGCGAAGAAAGCGTCAGCTAGATAAGATCCAGCATAGCTAGGCTTGTGGAATCCATCCACAATGGGTGGCGCCCTGGACGGTTTGGAAATCTTCTCAATATACCCCGCGATGCCGTCTTGCTGCCACTCCTTTGCGAATTTCTCAGCCGTCATGTTAAGCCCGCCGACAGCCCAGATCGGCTGGACCTGCCAAACAATGCCCAGCTTGGCTATGTCGTCACTGAAGGAGCGGATTTGCTCATCAGTGAAACCGGCCTTTGTATAGTCGTACATGCCGGTGAATCCGAAGGCAAAGAGCCGATTAGGAAAGATCTTACGAACTTCCGTGTGGAATTCGAGAATGTCCCTCTAGACTGTGCAGCGTTAGTTTCTTCTTTCCTGCTGTTATGCCATCGTTGATATTCTTGCTCACCTGGCGCATCCATTCTTGCCCAAGTCATGTCTCCCAAGGGAGCAGCTGCAACAGCTCGCTCTATGATTGTCTTGACGCTTGGCTTCCACATATACTGGCCCTCTTTGGACCTCGGCAGCTCCCAGTCGAAAACAACGTCCTCTCCTACAGCATCCTTGGCGAATCGGCGTCGATCCTTGAGTGACGTGCCGTACACGGAAGCCTTTGCCAGATACTGCTGGTACTTCTGCTCGTTGCATCTGGCCTTGACCGCCTCGTCAAAGGTCATCAAGCCTGCGCTGGCCTTCCATTCATCGCGTGCCTGCATGTACGTCTTGCCCTCAGCCATTCCCGATGAGACCGCCTCCACGAGAGGCTTCACGTCGTGGGTGGCGCCTAGGATGTACTCATGGTCCCTCGGATCAATTGTGCTCGTGATGAATTGAGAACGGTCTGTATCACATCGACACATCAGTAACGTATTGACACTGGAGAAACCTCGTCAGCATAAGAGTCACCGTGAGGCATGAGCGTGCATGAGTACTGACCCCATGACATCGAATTGCATGCGAACGGCCGTGAGGCGAGCGATATACTCGCTGGTAGGCACCACGGTTCGGCCCTCGCTAATCGTGAATTTCTTCAAGCCAATGGCGAGATCATCCAGGTGGATCATGGCGACTCCCGCCTCCACAAATAACTTGGTCATCTTGACCGTCGAGGTCAGGCCTCCGAAGCCCATGTCGCCATCGGCAATGATGGGCGCCATGAAGTCGTAAGCTTCAAGCTTCTCCCGCTCAGCCTTTGTGTGGTGTAATCTGAACTGCTTCTGGCGCTGGTCGTGCCACAATTGGGCTTTGAAGATCTTCTCGATAACCTTGGGAACTGTGTCCCATGGGTAGTCTGCATGATCGCAGCCCGGATGCTGAACTTCCGAGAGACCGCAAAGTGCCCCCGAGACGTACACAGTCTATTGTTGTGTGTAAGTAAATTTTGACACCTATGGGCTCGACTCCAACTTGACTCACCTGTTGATGCTTGACCATTTGGGAAACCACGGTAGGTTCGGTCGTACCAAATGTCTTCTCATGGGTACCATTTTTCAGGTGTTCATTCAAGAGATCCCAAAGCTTATCGCCTTGCAAGCTCGATGGGTACGAGATGGGGATTGTGTTTCGCAACGCGGCAATTGTCTTGGCTGAGTAGGGTCTAATAGCTGTAAGTTTGCCTTTGAACCATCATCTATCAGAACATTTGCAACGCAACCTAACCTTTTCAGATGTGCCTGTCTGGGAGATTGCCACTCCTGCTCGATCGAATCCGCAAGGTCCAGAAACGCTGCTTCCTCGGCGTCCAGATCGATTTTAGTGTTTCGCATTTTGGGACAAGTAGGATCAACGGTATACAGGGACACGAACTTGCGGCTCGAGACTGCGGATGACGGTGCGGCCATGTTGTCACTGGCTCTTATTAGTTCACTCACATAGCTACTGGCCCTTCGGACACTACTAGCGTTTCGCGGACACTCAGTCCGAAGACCCCGAAAGACCCCGACCAGCATTACCCCATGCTTCTTTCCGCCAGGAGCGTCTGTCGCATCGCATCCCGATCGGATGCCAGTCCATTGACGTTTCTCAACTTGATTGGATACACTTCATCGGAAAGGACTTGAAAATCCGGGGGAGGGGAGCGTTCTTATCGCGAAAGACCATCCTGATCTCGGTCCCGCGCGCGCCAAGTCGAATCAAATCGGGTCACTCACTCGATCAGAATCAGGCTTCGCACCGCGCTCGGCATGTTGTCTTCCGATCCTGATATTTCGATCGTGCCTTATTCTGCATCTGAGATCTTTTACCAATGGCATCTTTCCGTAAGGAGATACAGTCAGAATATCATGAATGACTAATTGGCTGGTGGTTCGTGGTCCGGCCGAACAAGTAGGTATCTCACAACCACGGAGCCCACTTACTGTGGGTGCGGTAGCAACGTTACAAGGACAAAGCCGAGTTAGACAAACAATAGATTTTGAACACACAATGGCCTCCGTGGCGACGGACATTGACAACTAGCTAAATCAGATAGCTCGAGAGAAACAAAATAGTACACTACACGTTTCGGCCCACCCCTTCATCCATATTCAGCCAACAAGTACATTCTTAACCTTAGCAAAAATGCCCTTGTGAGCTGTTTCTTCGTCTGTACCGCCCAACCACTCTCTCCGGCCGCTCGTGATGTCAGCTTCGGCAGGGTTAACCCATTTCGTTTCTTAATTATCTCGTTAGCAAAACTGCACTCAAGGCTTTCACGGGCGAGAAACCTACTGTGCCAGAGCTTCCACCCGGCGTATAGGGCAATGAAGATGGGGATAACTAGGTAAGCGAAGATGAAAGCCTTGAGGTCAAAGGGTGTCAGGAGCGTGGTGTACCCGGAGATTATGACGAGGAAAATGTTGGCTCCGAAAAGTGTCCAGGGGACATAGGGGTACCCCAAGGCCTTGAATGGAAGAGAGGAGAGGGGCATGCCCTGGGCTTTCACGGCGGCGCGGAAGCGCATGTGAGTCAACCCGATAAATGCCTAGGCAATGAAAGCAGCTGAGCCAGAGATTGACAGCAGGTAGCTGAATACATTGCCAGCATTCTCCGAGATATTGAGCAGCGAGATGAGGCCGAAAAGGTTGGTGAAGACGATGGCGTTGACCGGGACACCGTTGGAAGTCGCCTTGGCAAGGAACCGCGGGGCCCGTCTAGCCTTGGCCTGAGCATAGATGGTGCGACTGGCAATGTAGATGGCGGAATTGATCGAAGAGAGCAGCGTGATGATGATGATTGCATTGATCAGGTTGCCGGCGCCCGCCCAGCCCGCTTGGTTCAGGGCGACAGTGAAGGGGGACGACGCCGACTTGGATGCGGCGTTCAATAATCCTTCCGAGTTGTAGGGCACAATTAGGCCGGTGAAGAAGATCATGCCAACGTATACGATCAGGATGCGCCAGAAGGTCTGCTTTAGCGCCTTGGGGATGTCCCTCTTGGGGTTTCGAGACTCTCCGCCAGTGATTGCCACTGCCTCAGTTCCCGAGTACATGACCGCAGCCAAGAC